CATAGTGGGTGGACTTTAATGCATTTGAGAATGAAGGCAGCAGAACGCGTGGGTGGCAAAGTGGTCGGCTTGGAGGTATGGCAGATTGTAGAGTAAGGAGGTGGATGGCAGGAACAGGCACCATGCATAGCAGGTAGCATTCTATCATATAGACGATCATTGGTGAGGTGGTCACAGTACTGTGTATGTTTAGGGGTGATCCTGGACGGTATGGTTTCATATCCTGGCCGGGTCAAAGAGTTCTTAGTGATCTATGGCTTGCGCGTTCATGCAGCTTTCTCTCTCTCTCTCTCTCTCTCTCTCTCTCTCTCTCTCTCTCTCTCTCTCTCTCTCTCTCTCTCTCTCTCTCTCTCTCTCTCTCTCTCTCTCTCTCTCTCTCTCTCTCTCTCTCTCTCTCTCTCTCTCTCTCTCACACACACACACACACACACACACACACACACACACACACACACACACACACACACACACACACACACACACACACACACACACACACACACACACACACACACACACACACACACACACACACGCGCGCACACACACACACACACACACACACACACACACACACACACACACACACACACACACACACACACACACACACACACACACACACACACACACACACACACACACACACACACACACACACACACACACACATATATATATATATATATCCTACAGTAGCCATAAGCTAGGTGAATATGACCTCTTACTGAAATCGATGTTAGAAAAAGCCCTCATCGTCTCTCTCGATGACATACAGTGGAAACACGCCTCTCTTCCCGTAAGATTTGGGGCCTCGGAGTTCGAGGAAACGTATATCGCTGTACCAGCCTTCCTGTCCTCGGTATCCGACATCATAGTAAAGGAAATTCTACATGTCTACATAGATTAGCTGGCAGGCGTACACAATCCCAACTTTATACTATGTGCCACCGAATTGGCCTCTGGAGGCACACTATAACCTTCACCATCAAAAGCCCCCCAAGCAATTTAGCTGGGATGGCCCCATTGTAGACCAAGTTGCTGCAGAGTGCCTGGGTGCTGCAACAACGCAACACGACATTGCTCACCTCACAGTAGTAGAAGCCCCACATGCAGAGGGCTTCCTGCTATCAACAACAATGTTGGCAGCATGCACACGTTTCAAACCACATGCCCTCCAAATTGCTGTAGCTCTTCGCCTTGCTGCCCCAATCCACACCAAATATAGGTGTATTTGCGGCGAGGTCGTAACTGACAGGTACGGCCACCATGGCCTACTCTGCCAAAGCACAGGGGGATGGCTCTCGAGGCACAGTGACGTTAGCGACATCATCAAGAGGAGCCTCACTCACCACAGCTGGATGCCTAGCTGATAGAGCACCCCGTTACCTAACGCCCTGTAACTCCTCTGCTCTTATTGGTCGCCCAGATGGTATCACAGCGAATCCCTGGAAGAATGGCAAGCAGGGGTGTGGAACTACACATGTGTATCAACCCTGGCCTACATTGACTTTGGCGTTACACATCTGGGTGATGCTGCCACTCACAGGGAATCAGCCAAACTCCGTTAGTACAGCTATCATCCTATATCAAGCTTATGTTGAACGCAAATTTTACTGTAATACAATGAACCTAGAGATAATCTTCATGTTATGATACAATGCACCTGATGATAATCCTCAAGTTTTACTTTAATGTAACTATTAATTTTCTTAATTTTTTTTTATACTGTACATGTTAACATTCTTCAAATTTTGCTGCAAATTACCTACTTAAAATTATCTGTTAGATTAAGGACCTGCCCAAAACGTTATGCATGTTAGTAGCTTTACAAGAATCTAAAAACATAAATGCTATCTACTCTAATAAACCCAATATAAATTTTTGTAAATATATATATAAATAAATAAATAAATACAGAGAACTGGATCAACGCTACAATTTTGTCCTCATTGCTTCAGAAACACGTGGTGTCTGGGGAATGAGTGCCATCAGTTTTTGAGGAAATAGGGTTCTAGGCTAATTGAAAAGTCAAAGACTAGAGAACACAATGGTCCTGGCTCTTAGTGGTATTTCATATTTCATATTCATAATGTCTTCCTCATTCTGGGTGAAAATCAGATCTAATTGGCTTGGTGTATCCCCCTTCCTCTGTCCCTTGTGTCTTCCTTCACATGTTGTGTTAGGAAAATCCTGTTCATAACTTCCAATAATTTTACTCTCGACGTTTCTTCCCCACCTTCTTGATTTCCAATCTATCTCTATGTGATTGAGGTCGCCCATGACAAACAGTTTCACTCTCATTCTGTGAGCTGTTGTTGCTGCCCTCTGTAGTTAATCTATACATGTCTTGTAGTTTTCATCATATTCCTGTCTAGGCCTTCTACTGTTTGGAGGGGGGATTGTAGATAATCAAGAACACAATCCTCTTCCCATCACCTGTCAGAATCCCAAGTACGCAGCTTGAGTTTCCATTAGTCCCCCAATTCTCTAGTTCCTCAAAATTCCCTTTCTGCTTTATGAGGAGTGCCACTCCCCCTCTCTGTCTCTGTGTTTTTTCTTTCCTTATCACTTGGTATTCCTCTGGGCGGATTGCATCAGAGATCATATCATTTATTTTAGTTTCCACTATTGAAATTGTTTGGAACTGCTTCACTAAACTTTTCTTATATTTCCTCTACTTTATTTGATACCACATCAGCATTGGTGTACCAAACCTTTAGGCTCTTCTTGGAAACTCTGTTACCAGAGTTAATATAGCTCATCAGCCTACCTGCCATCCTCTGTGTGAGCTGCAGGTGAGAGATGGATGCAGTCCAATCTCCAATAAGTGATTGGGAAATGGGAAATTGCCTGAGAATATGGAAGGGAATGAGAGGCTGAGGGGGATCTGGGAGCCAGGGGGCTGGGGGGGCAGATTGGGTCTGGGCAATTAAGGAGATCTGGGGGGAATAAAGGGGTCTGGGCAGCTAGGGGGTATCTGAATGGCATAGTGGGTCTGAGAGGCATAGGGGGGCTGAGAGGTAGAGTGAGGTTGGGAGTCAGAAAGAGGGTGTGCTAGAAGCAGGGGGAGAAGCAGGATCAAGTAAGAGTTTTCGGTAGAATGGGGGTAATTGGGATGCGGGGTCTCAGAATGGGAGAGTGGCAAGAGAATGGGTGTTTGAAGGCAGTGAATTGGTGATGGAAGAGAGGCTGGGGGTCCTGAGATGAGGGGGTCATTCTGGAGACGAGGTGCAAAGAGAAGGGGGTGGGTGAGGGTTGTGGGGGTTTTGGGGATGGATGGGAGAGCATTAAAAGGTGGGATAGAGCAGATGGGATTGGTTGCAGAAGGGTTGGAATGGGCAGGGGAGTTGTTGGGAAAGGGTGGGGTAGAAAGATGGTGGGAAGGGAAGTGAAAGTTGGGGAGAGTACGAGTTGGGACGAGGAGGGTGTGGGGAAAATCTCACAGCAGAAATTTCTTTATTTATTTAATGTTTTAATTAATATTTAGTTTTTTAATTTATTTCTAATTTGTTTCTTAAGAATTTATATTCTAATTTAAACATTAATTTAATGTTTCATTTTAAACATGAAATTAATTTAAATTAATTAAATTTAAAATTAATTTAAATAAATAATTTTAATTATTTAAATAAAAAAAAATAGTTTTAATTTAAAAAAACTATTTTCATAGTTTTCCTGCTAGGAACTTCCCTTCACAACCTGGGGGGTTTATTTAATATCCTAATCGAAATTAATTGATTGTTTCAAATTCAATACTAAGGGTTAGATTACTAACTAATAATGGATTATTTTAAAACTGAGCTCAGTTTAGCTGTTATGTAGAATGTTGCTTATTTAATAAGCCAAGCACATGTCCTGATCAAATAAACCGCATCGTCTCCTGGTCGAACAATAATGGTGGCAGGGCGTGCTTCGTGAAGAACCAAGTATTTTGTTGGCAATGCCTAAAGTCGTGACAGGTGACCTGCCAGATTAAAACATTGTAAAACATCCAACAACATCGTTATAACAAATATGACATGGCATTGTATATTATTAGATTAAAGTGAGATGCTAACCTATTTGGGTACTTCTCGCACCTCATAATCACATTGACATTAAGTGATAATGTTATTATTAGGCCTGAATCTACCAAGTAAGAGGTCAACACGGACACAAGATACCTCTCAACAGTGTTGTTTGTTGTTTAAGATTCGCTTCTTGGAACAAAAAATTCCAAGTAGCACGGGCTATGGTGAGGCCGTTATGGACTTACCTGGCACAGGAGCGGGGCTGTAACAACAAGTGGTGAGGTGGCAGCTTGACTCCAAATAACTCGTGGGATTCGATGATTCATAGTTCTGCAAAGCGCATGTCTCACGGAGAAGTTTACTAAATAGTAACTCTCGTGCAAGTCCTGGTGCATGTGGCGTCACGGTTCCCTCCACGCTTGTACGTTTTCAAAACGGTTTGAGTTTTATTTCGTCAAAAATGGCATTTATTTAATTGTTTGTAAATTAGTTTATAAGATGCGAATAAGTGTTTTTCTTAAAGATTCACTGAGCTATTTAGGGTTAGTTAGTGTTAGTATATGTCTAACATAAGGGCAATTGCTTAGTTTGCTAGGAGTTAGAATTTAGTGTCGGAATTTCCGACAGAGGGCATTGGAGGGGTGGGAGGGGCACATGGGATTGGTTGCAGAGGTGATGCAAGGGGCAGGGTAGCGGTTGGAGGTAGAAAGTGTGGGGATGGATGGGAGGGCTGGTTTGAGGGGGGAGTGAGTTGGGAAAAGGTGCTGTGGCTATTTTGGGTCAGTTTTCTCGCCCTCATTTCTTGCTGTTCGTCTTTGGTCATGTATCTGTCTATAAACACATTATAATAGCCCTCACTGATTGAAGTTTAATATGTAGACGACTGCCTCATCATTAGAAAATTCCAGCAGAAAAGGTCTGGGTTTGTTGTCATTATAAGGCCGAATTCAGTGTGTATATATAATATATTCTGGACTGCAAACTCACAATACTCTTAGAAACACTGTGGAAAACACTGAATAATTAATTCAAATATGAATGCTTGAAAAATATTGCACGTGCAAAAAAAATTGTTGGTGTAATATAAACACTGAAATTGAAAGGCCAATCTTTCCTATAAATCAATAACATCTAAAATGATAGGGATTCATTAATTTCATTTGAATTGTAAATTTAATAGAGGGCACCAAGGAAATGAGTCTCAGATGAAAGTTAGTCGTATCCTGGTTATCGTGTAACAGCCATAAAATATCGTCTATATACAAGTACCACTTTGTATCAACCAGCAAGTTACTTGAAAAAATCTTAAGTTTCAAAGAACGCAATGTATAAATAAGCACCAGAGGCAAAGGGCTACCCATTGTCATTGCAAACGTGTGGGCATAAAATTTACCTTTAAAAACAAAAGTATTATCCTTGACACTACATAATCATTTCAACGATAGTGGATGCTGGCAGTTCTCAGTTATTTGTAGGAATTTAATTATAATTAAATTTGATAATTTAAGTGTAGTACATTTTTATGTGTCTTGCTTCTAACTCTTAGTATATCAGGAATTGCTTACAGGATATGTAACCTCTCTTGACCAAATTAACTACTTCCAATCCCTCGGATGGCTATGTTCATGTTGCTATCTACCTATTGATCTTCATTCTGATGATCGCAGCTGGCCAATTATAAACGACAATTAATACATAAATGCACATTGTATAACGTTAAATACCTGTTTGCGTGAAGTGCTGAGCCATGAGGTGACGCAGGTTGGTGCCAACATCAATCAGGACGTGGGTGCCAGGCTTCACAAGGGCGTCCGACGCCTCCATGTACTCCATTGGTGTTTTGAATATCACTCGTCCTTTTTCCTCCAAATCAGCCACCTCACGGATGATGCCAGATTTCATATTCTGGATGACGTAATGCCCTCAGATGAATATTAAAAATTAAAAGAAAATTAAGCTTTTAAATAATAATATCTATATTATAATAGTGGGTTTCAAACATATTCAGCCTAATTCAATTAATTTATCATTAATATCTCTAGGATTTAAATTGTTGCTTTCATTAGTGACTTATTATAGATTACCCTGTTTAAGAACTTTTCCTGGAAATTAAGTGATATTTTGTGACCTGTTCCAGGCCATAAAGTATGATTAGTATGACGAGGAAGTCATAATAGACTTCAAGATGAAAGCATTCCTATCCATGGAATGTCTCCAAGACAAACTCTATCAAAACTGTCTTCAAGGCAATTTTACAAGTTTCCCTGTTATATTGGACTTTGGTATGGAAGATTCATCAAAGTGCATTACCACGGGTGTGACTGGCTGCAGGTAACTGAGTTTTTGACATTGAGCACTTGACATTGGTCGTACTGTGGGTTGGACCAATGTCAAATGCTAGCCACTGGTGGATTACCAGAAGAGGCTAATGTCACCACTAGACAAGAAATTCGGCCTTTCGAAACAATTTGTCACAATTCCTAGTTAAGGTGAAGCAGCTTTAAAATACCATAAGACTTCTTTCCTAAGCTTTTTGAAACAAGGGTTAAAGTCAGTGTTAATGTTGAACCATATATAAAGAAGATCCTGAAGTGCAAGGAATTCCCTAAGATGCTCACTAGGAAGAAGAAAGCAACTTGGAACAGCTTAGTGACATTGGTTCAGAGATTCCTTTGCAATTTTAAGGCCGAGATTTATAGAGAGCTGGTTGAAACACGTATTAATTACAATACAATGAGCTGCAGAATGTTCATTCAAAATCTATATTCTGGAACTAATTGAGATTGTTTATATACTCCTTTATAATTAATGAACACCGGAGCATACTCAGAGGAACAAGGAGAGCTCTTCTACAAGGACTGAACTTTACACACTGCTACCTATTACATATTCCTATTTAAGGAATACTCACATTGATGTACAGTGTATTGTTGATTATGGTTTTGTTCTTGCTTGGGGGCATGTATATATATATTTTTTGTGCTTGTCATATACTTTGGCAACACAGTTGAGAGGAGTGGGCTTGCTCTAGTCAGGTATGGGATGTGTGAGATTCGGATCAATTTCCTGATAGAATACAGGAAAGCTTGTGTTGTGTACTTGCCAACAATTTCCTCTTTATTATTCTCAATAAATATATTTGTTTTATATAAACTACATTACCTCTGTTAATGCATGTCAACTTAAACATTCATATTTAAGATGTTCTTATGTTTGCCTTAGCCCAGTTATATTGCTCATTTAAGTAAGTTAATTTTATATAAATTTACCATTCGTTATGTTGCAGAGGGGGCGAGAGGAGCTTCCAATGACAGTTTTGAGTTAGTAGCTGAGAGTGGGCCATTGAGTCAACTGTCTGATAAGTTTTGTCTGTTTATTTTTATTCTGTATCTTGTCTTAGTAGTTACAATATTCTGGTGAGCCTACTTCATTATATTATAATTCTTTAGTAGGCCATCTGATTACTGTTATACCTGAAGAATAATATTATTTGGAAATTTATACATTTTATATTATACAAGATTTTATATGCATATGTGTTTAGTTTGTAACCTGGTGAAATACTTTAACTACTCTTGTATGGTACATACTGATGAGGCACCCTGGTTGAACGTATTTAGATAGTTTTTTTTTATTCATCCCCTAAACCACGAACTTCTTGTCCCTGTAAGTTCAACGAGCGGTGCGTCCAAGTTGTTACACATTTTGTGGGGGCCTGTCCGTGAGATTGTTTCCCATTTATTATTAAAACTTTGCTAATGAAAATCTGCCTTCCTAGGAACCAGTGTACTTTAAGAAACTTTATGCAGTATTACATGCTAGTGAATCATCCTGTGTAACTATCGCTTTGCTTCATGATTTTGGAGGTAAGTCATTAAATTTTTTGTTTGTGCAGTGAGGCCAAGCAAATTTTCAGTGTCGTGTCAATATAAAGTGAAGTATGTAGTGCAGTGCCATTCTGTTTAATTATTTAGTTTAAGTGCCAAGTGTTAATTAACAATGGAGGATCAAATTGAGTCATTGTTGGCTAATCTAGACTTTGAGGGAATTAAAAGCCTAAAAAAGTCTGCCCTAATAAATATGGCAAATAAGTTAGAATTTATAGCCAACAATAAAATGATTAAGGCACAAATTCTGAGAGTGATAGTGACCCATCTAGTAGAAGATGGAAAGTTAGGAGAATAATTTCTGGATGAGGTACGTGAGGAGACAAGTTAGCAGATTGCTTTACGGCATCTTGAGTTGGAAACGCAAGTAGCATATGCTAAGCTTGAGGCTCGAGCGAAAGAATGTGAATTTGAAAGGCAACAGAAAATATTAGAGATTGAAGTTCAAAACCAACTGAAAATATCAGAGGCTGAAGCTCAACAGAGAGAGATTGAAGCTCGACGGTTAGAAATTGAGGCTAAGGCTAGACAGCAACAGTTAGAGAATGAGACACAAAATAATAGACTTGTAGTTCAGTTGCAATTAGAAGCAACAAGAAACAGCAGTTAGGAATTCAAAAATAAATGGCTGAGGATAATAATAGAATAGAAACACAGAGACAGGCAGCTGGACATGGTAATACTAAAAATGTTCCTAATAGTAATGATAGTCAAATTAAAGTAAATAAGTATGTCGAGTTACCAAAGTTTAATGAGGAGGACCCTGAGGTTTTCTTTTCACATTTCTCTAAAATTGTAGTCAGTATGAACTGGCCAATGGACCCGTGGGTAGCGATCATGCAAAGTCAACTCAGAGGGCGAAGTCAGGAAGTTTTTGCATCTTTTCCTGATAAAAACAGTTTTGATTACAAATTTGTTAAGAACAGCATCTTAAATGCTTACCAGTTGAACTCTGAAGCCCCCAGACAAAAGTTGAGAAATTTAAAGAGGGCAAGTGAACAAACAATTGCAGATTTCATCAGCTTAAAAACTAATTATTGTAACAGATGGTTGAAATCAATCTCTATAACATAGTATGATGCTCTCAAGAATCTTCTTATCAAAGAAGAAGTGTTGTCATGTATCCCAGATATATTGTCTACTTTTATGACAGAGCAGAAGAACATGACAGACATTTATGAGCAGTCCAAGCTCGCTGATGAGAATGAGTTGTTAACTAAGGCCCAGTTTATGGCCCAATCACCAAAGTCTAACCGTAGAGTAAATTATAATGCTCACAGAACTCATCAGTATAAATAAAGTACTAGTGCTCCAGTTCTCCCATGAACTCTTCTCTTACAAAAACTAATCCTGCTACTTCATTGTCAGGAATATCAAATCTTAGTAATGTTAATTTTAAACCTACAGTTGGTTCCACAGGTGTGTCCACTGTAAGGTACTCTCTCTCACGGTTCCTAATTAGTCTTTATCAACTTAGGGAAGTAAACTTCATAGTTGTTTAACATTTAATTAAATTCAACTCTAAAGTTTATTTTTTTTTTTATCAAATTTAACCTTTGGACTGAAGGTTTATGTTTTCATACGAGAAATATTGTGTATAAATAGCGTGTTTGCTTATATGGCAACATCCCATTTTTTCTGAGAAACCACAAAATCCATTCTCTGTGATAAAGTTAGTAGATTAGTAATAACAGTAAGTTCCAGACAGTCGTTTTAGCTGGGGATGTCAGGTGTTAGTAATTCGGTGTCGAAATTTCCGACAATACACACACTTTGTACGACAAATTTAATCTTGAAGATAAATTTCCTATTAAAATTTTTTTTATTTTGTCCTAAAAGCTGTTTGCACTATGTAATATACATTCCAGTGATTCCATAATCGGAGGATTAAGCTGGCAAGCATATTGGATGGACAACTGAGATGCTATGCATTAACATTGAATACAACGTACACGAAGATACTCAGCGTTTATGGAACTGGTCTGCCATATCATGACTATTGAAGGGTCATTGATGACGTGACGGAGGGTGTGGAAGGGCTGAGGACTGTACCTCACCGCCAGGAGAGACATGAGGTTGCCGGAGTAGCTCCTCGTCAACACCAGCGTCGCCCAGAGCCACGCCCCAAACATGAGTCTCCTCCACCAGCCCTTCACCTCCACTGACACGACTGCATGCAACAGGTTAACAAAAACACACACAGTTACCAATAATATCAAGAAACAAGGTAAAGTCAAATTGTTCACAGCAGTTTCGCAAATATCTCATTTGCTAATTGTTATTATTGTACTGTTTTGTTATGCTAGGCTGGTTATTATATGTTGGATTAAGCAAGATAAGAAATTGTTGGGTTAGGAATAGTTAAGTTGGATTATGGTATAAGATTTTTAACACTGTTGACAATCAGTATAAACAACGAATTTAGTGAATCGTATCCAGAGAAACACCAAGTTGAGAGTATATTTTACCGAATAAGAATTTTCTCATGACCTCATCATATACGACCTGATAAAACTTTAATAACGGAAACGTCTCCTTGGATAAATGCTACTCTCATGTTGTGATTTTGTAAGTTTATGGAACTGTAAATATGATAAAAACTATATTTTTTTGTTATTTGTTTCACTCCAACAAAAAATTATTTGGTATATGCATAATTTTAGAAAAATGGGTAAAGAAATTAAATCTTTCCGTTTTCGAAAATAACAAATAAATATTTTGTCAAGTTCTGACGAAAATTTTAACTTACTCTGTTGTAAAAATATCCGAAGGAATTTGTATGTATCATCCAACCAGAGAAAGCAGGAAGCCCTTCTGTGGTAGAGGTAAGGATACTCCAGCAAAGTAATAGCAGGCATCACTAGCAGCGCCCCCAACGTGGCTACCCACACCAGCGGCTCCAAAGGGAACAGGAAGCTCCAAGGGTCCACCTCCAGACGCCCTCGACCAGCCAAAATTCTACTGCTGTCGTACCAAATGGGCCAAGTGAAATCCACTGCCTCAGTACGCGTTAGTGTGATACTAATAGGCCCTATGGCGAGGTCTGCCTCCTGAAAGGACCGAAGAACATAAAGGAAGTATTGAAATTAATCATAAATGATTCTCTTGTAATCAATATAAATGAATATAAGGGCTGAATGGAAATATTTTATGGAAGTAAAGAAATCATATGGAGTGACATGGTAATAGAGTTGGGTTCGTTTTCTACTCACAATCAGTAATTCCGGGTTTAAATCAAGAGCAGAACAGAAACATGTTGCGCATGTTAACCTAAGTATTTGAATCAAATACATTTACACATACATAACTATTTTGTTGAGTGAATAATAATTAACGACAATTGTGTTTACAGAGAGGAAGATGTATTAAAAACATAGATATTAATTATGACCCCACGGAAAATATTGCAGGCAAAAAAGTAACAAAGAAGAATTAAAATGAGATAAAATGCTCAAATCAGAACGAGAAAAGTAATAAGTATTTTTAAACAAATAATATATAACGAACATTGTGAAATACATAATTAATCACAATAGCGACAAAATAAAAAAAAGATAAAAATGCAGATGTGCAAAGTAAAAATAGGGAGGAAATGCGAGGGAAGGAGGAGGCACCCTGCTGACTGTACCCAGCATGCTTGACCAGGACCCAACGCCCTGATGACTGTACCCACCATGCTGGACCAGGACCCAACGCCCTGCTGACTGTACCCAGCATGCTTGACCAGGACCCAACGCCCTGATGACTGTACCCACCATGCTGGACCAGGACCCAACGCCCTGATGACTGTACCCACCATGCTGGACCAGGACCCAACGCCCTGATGACTGTACCCACCATGCTTGACCAGAACCCAACGCCCTGATGACTGTACCCACCAGGCTGGACCAGGACCCAACGCCCTGCTGACTGTACCCACCATGCTTGACAAGGACCCAACGCCCTGCTGACTGTACACACCATGCTTGACCAGGACCCAACGCCCTGCTGACTGTACCCACCATGCTTGACAAGGACCCAACGCCCTGCTGACTGTACCCAGCATGCTTGACCAGGACCCAACGCCCTGCTGACTGTACCCACCATGCTTGACAAGGACCCAACGCCCTGCTGACTGTACACACCATGCTTGACCAGGACCCAACGCCCTGATGACTGTACCCACCATGCTTGACCAGGACCCAACGCCCTGATGACTGTACCCAGCATGCTTGACCAGGACCCAACGCCCTGCTGACTGTACCCACCAGGCTGGACCAGGACCCAACGCCCTGATGACTGTACCCACCATGCTTGACCAGGACCCAACGCCCTGCTGACTGTACCCAGCATGCTTGACCAGGACCCAACGCCCTGCTGACTGTACCCACCAGGCTGGACCAGGACCCAACGCCCTGATGACTGTACCCACCAGGCTGGACCAGGACCCAACGCCCTGCTGACTGTACACACCATGCTGGACCAGAACCCAAAGCCCTGATGACTGTACCCACCAGGCTGGACCAGGACCCAACGCCCTGCTGACTGTACACACCATGCTGGACCAGGACCCAACGCCCTGATGATTGTACCCACCATGCAGGACCAGAACCCAATGACCTGATGACTGTACCCACCAGGCTGGACCAGGACCCAACGCCCTGCTGACTGTACCCACCATGCTGGACCAGAACCCAAAGCCCTGATGACTGTACCCACCAGGCTGGACCAGGACCCAACGCCCTGATGACTGTACCCACCATGCTGGACCAGAACCCAAAGCCCTGATGACTGTACCCACCAGGCTGGACCAGGACCCAACACCCTGCTGACTGTACACACCATGCTGGACCAGGACCCAACGCCCTGATGACTGTCCCCACCATGCTGGACCAGAACCCAATGACCTGATGACTGTACCAACCATGCTGGACCAGAGTCCAATGCCCTGATGACTGTACCCAGCATGCTTGACCAGGACCCAACGCCCTGCTGACTGTACACACCATGCTGGACCAGGACCCAACGCCCTGATGACTGTCCCCACCATGCTGGACCAGAACCCAATGACCTGATGACTGTACCCACCATGCTGGACCAGAGTCCAATGCCCTGATGACTGTACCCAGCATGCTTGACCAGGACCCAACGCCCTGATGACTGTACCCACCATGCTGGACCAGAACCCAATGACCTGATGACTGTACCCACCAGGCTGGACCAGAGTCCAATGCCCTGATGACTGTACCCAGCATGCTTGACCAGGACCCAACGCCCTGATGACTGTACCCACCAGGCTGGACTAGGACGCAACGCCCTGCTGACTGTACCCACCATGCTGGACCAGGACCCAACGCCCTGATGACTGTACCCACCATGCTAGACCAGGACCCAACGCCCTGATGACTGTACCAACCATGCTAGACCAGGACCCAACGCCCTGATAATTGTACCCACCATGCTGGACCAGGACCCAACGCCCTGATGATTGTACCCACCATGCTGGACCAGGACCCAACGCCCTGATGACTGTACCAACCATGCTGGACCAGGACCCAACGCCCTGATGACTGTACCAACCATGCTAGACCAGGACCCAACGCCGTGATGATTGTACCCACCATGCTGGACCAGGACCCAACGCCCTGATGACTGTACCAACCATGCTGGACCAGGACCCAACGCCCTGATGACTGTACCAACCATGCTGGACCAGGACCCAACGCCCTGATGACTGTACCAACCATGCTGGACCAGGACCCAACGCCCTGATGACTGTACCAACCATGCTAGACCAGGACCCAACGCCCTGATGATTGTACCCACCATGCTGGACCAGGACCCAACTCCCTGATGACTGTACCAACCATGCTGGACCAGGACCCAACGCCCTGATGACTGTACCAACCATGCTGAACCAGGACCCAACGCCCTGATGACTGTACCAACCATGCTGGACCAGGACCCAACGCCCTGATGACTGTACCAACCATGCTGGACCAGGGCCCAACGCCCTGATGACTGTACCAACCATGCTAGACCAGGACCCAACGCCCTGATGACTGTACCCACCATGCTGAACCAGAACCCAACGCCATGATGACTGTAGCCACCATGCTGGACCAGAACCCAACGCCATGATGACTGTAGCCACCTTGCTGGACTAGGACCCAACGCCCTGATGACTGTACCCACCATGCTGGCACCTGGACCCAACGCCCTGCTGACTGTACCCACCATGCTGGACTAGGACCCAATGCTCTGCTGACTGTACCGACCATGCTGGACCAGGACCCAACGTCATGATGACTGCAACCACCACGTTGGACCCGGACCCGTCATCATGCCGACCATACCCATCATCTTCCTGCAAGGATTAATTTTAACTCACCTCTCTTCGGACCATTCCAACCATACCGGTCCAGGAGCCATCTTTCATCTTAGTTCCATAACTGCCATCAGTAGGCGTCACGTACCTGTAGCTGACGGGCCAGAGTTAAGAAAAATATTATCGCATCACTGTTGGTTGGTATTTAAGGAATAATGGTTCATGTTTTATATTGACCTGTAAAAATTTGTAATGATAACATATATGAATTAGAAATTAGATATGCTACAAAATCATTCATTTATGTTATATTTTTATATTTCATTCCAAGGTTTGAATATGACGTTAGTGAGTTGTTTTGTGTACAGAAGGTCTTTCCCGAGCCTAAACGTCCCAGTTTATAGCCATTGGAACTTTTTAATGATAATTAATTTCCTTATTAATAACCTCCATTTGTGATTCATTTCCATCCGTTTTTATACCTCTATTATATTATCCATTATTCAGCGCCTTTCTTAAGGCTGATAAAACTATTTATCTATATCTTAAGAAACAGAGGACCAAAAACAAAACCTTCATAAACCCTTCACTATTAATAATTGTGTAAGGTTAAGATTCTCAATTGGTCTTGATAAATACTGGTCTGGGAATAGGATTGTAAATGGTCCAAATTACAAAGCGTGTTGATTGTGGGCGTGTTGCATGCATAAGTTAAAATTACTAGAATGAATTTATTTAGGTTTAAATTCAGATGCTTTATGTATGTTATTAGGTCTTTTGCTGTTTCTTTGTTCAAATGATCTGAAGTTACGAAATCAGATATTAGGATTTTACTGAAGATTACCGGA